GTAAGGTCATATCACTAAATGCGTACACCTCATTCTTTGATTAATCTAGGACAGTTAATTATCTTTCAGAATTCTTAGTATCCTGTAGTAATCAGGATACTTAATACCCTGAAGAGGAAGATGCGAAAGACTGCTCTCATATGGGAGTGTTGCAAAAGAATGTTTTTGTTTCAGCTGTCTCAGGTTTAAATAGATTGTCCTCCAGTTGCTGTTTTGATCATTCCCCTTAAGTACCTTGCTTAACCGTGCCAATGTGTGCACACTGCAGTAATTGTGTGCTATTGTTATTTGAAGGCTAAATCTAAGCCTGGCTGTAACTATAGCAACATGATCAGTTTACAGATTAGAGCTCTCTAAATAAGCTTGAAAAATAATTTGCTGTTAAATTCTAATACGGACTATCATCTCATGCATTTTTTTGTTCTTTACTTTGTATAGAGTTCCCATAGTATTTGCTGTCTCAGCAAATTTTACATGGAAAAATGTACAGAACCTCGTTTGTGTTCCTATGTACAAACCCTGGTTCAATATGTATATTTTGACTACAGCGAATTGCTAACCTACAGAGCACCAGATGGTAGAATAGAAATAATAAGAAACAATTACAAGGAAAGTTTTTACTTGCATTGAGAAACACAAATAATGCTGGGATAGATGACCAAAGAAAGCGTGAAGGCAGAACACTGTCTGGTTAGTTGTTTGTACATGTATACCTATCTCAGATGATCAAGTAGATAAGGTATCAGTTTCATTTGAAGTTTCAAACTCAATATGAACCCAGCCTCACAGTAGCTGTGTATGAAGGTGTTAAGTATCACTATGCCCATTTTACAGAGAGACAAACTTAAGCACTGTCAGGTTGTGGGAACATCCAAACATTCAACACCCGGGGAAACTAATGAAAATACTGCCCGTTTCTTTGAGATATTAGATCCAACTCCTTGCACGCAAAGCTGGTAAAAGAGGAGTCTATTATTGAAATATGTGTGTGTATTAATGGACATGAGCTGTAGATACTGAAAACAACACTATAATTGCCTCAACCTGTTCTCGGTTTCCTGGGTAATGGAATGATGGATGTAGTGTAGGACATTGTTGCTCAATAATGCAAAGACTCTTTGAATTTAATGGGCTTTAAGTCAGATCCTATGGTAACAGTTGGTAGTTTCCTTACAAACAGACAGTTGTCTACCAAGGCTGTAATGGAAAAATAATTTTAGTCTGTTTTTGCAAGGAAAATAAGCTTAAGGGATTGTGCTGCCTGCCAATTTCCTTTCCCCCAATCGTTTTTAATGTTAGTCATCTTCAGCCAAATTTGATGTATAGATATAAACCTCAAAATACCCTAAAATTTCTTGCAAATCAATAGGTAGGTAGAAGAGAAAGAGCTACATCAGTGCATCTATTACGAATAGGGGTTATAACCCAATGTTTATCTCTGTTCCACGATGTGGAGTTCAACTGGCCAGCACGTACAGCTGGAGCTCTGAGGCAGCTGCAGAACTGCTAAGGGAGGGAGCTGAGGGAGAGAAAAGTGTTTGCAGAGGTGGGACATGCTGGGGATATGGGAATGAACTGGGAGTGCTGAGGAGGAGGGTAGGGAGGGGATGTGGAACAGAAAATCAGGACAGGAAACAAAACTTTATTAGTTTTGCTGATTGTGGAATAACTTGTTCATTATGTCAGAAGTAGTACAGTACTGGACCAGGGCAGGAGCACTGCTAGGGCTTGTGGTCACCTGTACTTGCATACTGGATTCGAAGACTTTTTATATATTAGTGAGCCTATAGCCAGACTGTCCTTCCAGTGCTTGTGACCTTAGTTCTAGTTACAGTTTAAAAGGCTTGGCTTACGTGCAAAGCGTGAGGAACACGAATTCCCCTCATATCTATATGTTGACTGGGACGATATTGCCAGCATTCCTTTCCAGGACTGTTTGTTCCAAGCCACAATTTAAGGGACACAATGTCTATAGATTTTCTGTCTGAGCACTAAAATGCCACCAGGAACTACAGGTTCCTCTCTGCTTCCTTATCTTGGAAGCCCTTGAACTTCACCTGATGGAAAGGTCTGAGAAGAAACAAGAAAAACTTGCTCTCACTTTTGCTTACTCCAGGCTTCTAGGAGTGGTGTCTCTGGAAGCCTGGCTGTATTTTTGCTTCAGTTACAAATGGAAATTATTTTGGCACATATTTATGATTAAGAGTATGTTTACAGGGCAGTCATACAGGTCCCACCTAGCTCAGGTACTACGATATTGTGGGAGTTTATTCTTGCAACCATGCTATTATGCACTACTGAAATTGGCTTTAAACTAGCTAGCTTACGTCCGCTGTAGACATGGACTGCTACACATTTAGATTCACTCCCAGATTCATTTCTATTTTACTAGCCCTCTATTGGAAACCTGGACCTTAGTGGCTAGTTGCTGAGCACCTACATCTCCCAGTGATTTCAGGGTTCTTCCTTTCTTTGGATCAGATCTTACATCAGTGCACTGGAAAAAGAGCACCTGCTGGGATTATATGGCTTTTTGCTTGTTCACTTTTAATAAACTTTTTAAAGTTATTGTGCAGCCACTTTGAAAGCAACAAGGCAATTTATGCACAGTTGTGAACATGGCATGCTCACTTCTTAGTTCCAGCTGTTGTGTATCTTACCAAACTCACAAATGAAGTCAAATTCCTGGCTGCAATTTTCAGTCACGCCCCACTGATACTTGGCATTCTTCAGGATGTACCCACAAGTGGATGAGAAGGGAGATGGCTGATCCTTGTACCAGTTATTGTAGCTTATATTTGAAGTGTCCAGCCAAATCATTGACCCTGTGAACAAAATAATCGTGTCCTGAATGTTTATTTTCCACAGTAACACAATTACAGAGTCAGAGCCTGCAGAGCAGGACTGTAGCCCTGCTCCTACTGAAGCAGAGGTGGTTTAGTCTGCATAGGGATCTTCAATTACATTTTATATTTAACATGATACAATCACTAAAAGAGACACCGCCACTTCCCCCTGTGCTCCCAGCCTCAAGATTCCACCATTTCCCTTGCATCAGATCTTGCAGCACTTCCTAGTGTGATGAATTGGCTCAGCTTGCTCTTCCACTAGAAAACTAACCCAGCACATTTTTTTCACTGGGTCAGCAAGCTGATCTAATTCACCACCACAAGATCCGATGGAAAGGGTGACAAATGCAACTGAGAAGTGAAGCAGGCAATTAAAACATCTTAATATAAATCTGAAGTTACAGCAACAAAAGATAGTGGCTTTTCATCAGATGACTACAGAGGGACTGATTGCATTTGTTGTCACACTAAGTAAGCATCATGGGCTGATACAGTTTTAAAGAAGACATGATTTCAAAATCACCTACCGTCAGTAGTTTCATTCAGCAAGGAGTTTGAGATCAGTCCTATCCACCATTCCTGATCCTCAGCAATATGTTTTTGCAAGAACTCTTGAGTTTCCTCATTTTCAATAAAGACAAGGTGCCCTCCTCCTCTCTCACACCAGCTCTGGGCACTTGTGAATGTACGCTGGAGTCTAACAAACTCATAGCATGAATGGTTGAAAGCTAGCTGGTACTTTGAGCAAGGGATTCCTTCATCAACAGTTGCCTCCTCCACAGCCAAGCATACAGCAAGAGAAATTAGAACTGCGATCCCCAGCCACATTCTCAGCTCAGTGCCCTGTGTGGTACTGGTCTTGCTTATCACATCACCACTCTTTTTGCTGCCTTCTTCAAAAGCTTGAGATGTCATCCTTGGCATGTCATCAGCATTTCTCCTTCCTCTTTGCTGCTTGCAACAATACCAGCAATAGAACATAGAACAGATTGCTTCTAATATATAATGGTGATTGCGTCTGAGGATACACATAACAAGTGTTGATGCTAAGTCACTGCAATGGCCATTGTGAGGCCTGTTGTATAAACGTCTCATTCCATGTGAAGTCAGTTTGACGAGAAGACATTAGAGTAGTGCTTTCCTCATGAGCAGAGGAGATAAAGTTGATATATGCTGCTATTGGACACATGGGAAAGTGAGATAAAGCTCGTACATCAAAGGCATCATTGTGTGAACATTAAAGCTGGAGGTCTTTACAACACAACAAAGAGATACAACAGTGAGAATGAGAGGAGAATGAGGAAAATGAGAAACACAAGGAGTTATGACATGGGAAAACACATAGTGCTTCTCTAGATACATTTCATTGTTTTGGATTGCTTTATTTTTAATAATTATTATTTGAGGTGCTTCTTTTGGATGCTAATGCAATGTCTACAATTATTGTATCATATTCATCCTGTCCACCTGTTTACACATACGCAGGTTGATCTCAGCTGTCCCAAGTAAGCTTCATTTTGAAGTGTTGTGTCTGTTTAGAATTTCACACCCCAAGTGAAATGCTCCCATCATCTCTTAAAAGCTAAGCTGCTTAACTATACAGAGCTACAGTATTCATACCTGCTAGGAGGTACAAGGGAAGGCCAGACGTTAAAACAGTAATTTAGAAAAGATGAAAGTATTGCCTTAATCATTAGAGCTACTTGGGAGCCCTGTGTGCACATTCCAAAGGCTGCTGATAGACTTGGGGAAGCCAGCCCAGCAACATTTAGGAGATGAAATCCCTGAGTGCTTCTGAATTTCCTTACAAAAGATACCTATCAGGTTTACAAGGCCACTGGATTAGCAGAAATACAGTACAAATAAGGATCTTTAGCTATTGCAATCCTCCTGTCCTTGGCATTAACTCCATTGAATTTGATGCAATTATCATTAATTTATACCACCATAACCTGACACTGAAAGAACATGCACTTATATTTAGACATGGATCAGTGAGCCAGCTACTGCATCACAGAGATGCAGGAAGCAGTGATGCTTGGTTGAATTCCCGCATTGCAGAAAAGCCACCTGCATTGCACTGAAGGTAATGCACATATCGCACAATATGCCAGGCCAGCTCTAACTCTCTAAAGCTTTCTTGCGAAGTAAAGTATGTGTACTGCATCCAGTAAGCATTTAAGAGTGACCTACAATCCCAAGACTTTTCTGGACCTCCAGTTCTTAGTCACCTTGTTCAGCTGGATAAAGCAGGACTATAATCAGGGTTTTCAAGATAAAGTGGAAAAGTGTTTAATGGGTAGGACAACTGTGGGGGATGAGAAGAAAGGGGAATAAAATGCACTATGATGGAGGGATAGACACTATGCTGGATGTCCCCTTTCCCACAGCACTTGAAAATCAAGAATTACCTCAGCTATGGAACCCTTGGAGCAGATCCTACATTAATTTCTGACTGATTAATAGGGAGGGCTGATGGAGCAGCTGAGATACTCAGACTGGGTTTCCCAGCTCTGGGGAAGGCCAGTCCCTATTCTAATTAGCTGATGGATCTGGCCCAGTCATTGCCCAGACACCCATCCCCTTCCTGGAAGAGGCCATATAACTATGATTATCAGCTGGTTTTGTTGAGGATGTCTGCAAATTAGGAGTCCCTTTTGGGCTGTAAACAAAACTTCATAGGCTTCCGTTTGGGAACCCCCAACCCAACTGTTTTATATTCAAGCTATTGCAAAAGTCAGAGCTGAGGGCAGCTGCTGTTCAGTTAGTTGGCCACTGTATATTTTCATGACATTTCCTTCAGAGTCCTTGCTTCTTCTTGGGCCGTGCTGACTTGCCAGGCTTTGGAGAAGCTGGCAGCCAGCCCTCCCATTTTGTCCTCTTAGATATGAGAAACACAGCCTGTTTCTGAAAACATAGGTGTGATGAAGGAGACTGTACTTAAATGTATCTGGCTCAGTGATATAGACTATGCATTTCCAGTAGATGCCATTGACTCACATTTGTGATGAATGGATTCTGTAGCATCGTCCAGTTCTCTCTCTGCAACTGGAAATTTGACTACATGAACATACTGCTAAAAATGCCAGAGCTGGAGGTGCCACAGGCTATCCTCTGTGAATCTGCTCCAAAGCCATTGAAATTAATGGAAGTCTTGTCTCTGGTTTGACGGATTTTGAAACAGGCCCCAAAAAAGAACAAATAGTGTTTGGAAATGTCTACAAATAAAGCCAAGCTCTCCAAGTGAGTCTACTGTTGGCAATTTCTACAGCAGTGTGAATTTTTTTCCTAATCTACGGTTGCTATAAGTAACTCTTCAACTGCCTGTAGCAGATGGGGAATGGAAGAAAGACAGTTTCCCTCTTTTGCAGTTTGTTGACTTCATATATTTTAGTGCCAGTAAAGCAGTCTGTCAGTTTATTCTGTTTACCACAAGGAAGAGAAAACCATTTACAGAAAAGAAAATACTGCTTTAAAAGCATCAAAATTAGCAACTAGGGTCCTCAGGAAGAGAGAAAATTCCCGAAAGCTCTTTTCACTCATAACTGAAAAAGGGCTTGATTTCAAATAAACAGTGCTCCTTGAATTTACCGTTTTTAGGAAACATGCTTTTTGTATTTTTCCTCAATAGAAAGACATTTTTTAAAAATAGTTTTCGTATGCCAGAAGTCCACATGGAAGCTTCACAATATAATGGTTTTATTAAATTTTGTTGCTATTTGCCTTTGTGTAGCTGGCTGAATTGAAATAATTTAAATAGTTTAAGAAGTTACATAAATAGTCACATATGCTAGTGTGGAAGAGACAAAATGGTGCACCTGGCTGTGTAATCTCATCTTGCATGTTTCAACAGAGAGTCATAGAAGTGCTTAATTAAGCCTCTGTCATTGTCTCAAGGGGGTGGCTGGCAATTACAATAAGTTCTCCTCTTCTGGCTGCCCATGGGAGTGTAACTGACCCTGAACAGGTACTGTAAAGCCACTACAGTATCTTTAGGGAAGTGTCAAGCATAAAGTCGACTATATAGATTTCAGGTACACCAAAACCATTCACTTGCTAGTTTTTGCTTGCCTTTTGCATAGGTCTGAAGAACTGGGACAGACTCACAAAAGAAAAGTCTGTACATAAGCATTGTTTTTAAGGAACTATGAGTCCTTCGCATATAGCCAAAATTTGTTAATCCTTGTTCAGTTATAGCTGCCTGCCTGAAAGGCTGATGTAGCAACCACCCTTACAGCACGTGTTATGTACCAGTGACTTAAACTAAAACATATTCACCAGCTAAAATAAGGCTTGCAAAGCAATTGTGTTTTGCAAGCTTTGACTAGAAATTAGTGACAAAGCTTTCTCAATATTTTCACACCCTCACTCCAAGCTGCGATAAAGCTATGAATAACTCCTTTGTTTGTGAACTCTCTTGCGTCTGTTGGAATAAGTCTTTCATTTTTCTCAGAAATGTTTTAGGGGGCCCTGCAGATCTGTTACAGAGTCCTAACTTGCCCTTATGAGTTACACCAGATGGTGGCCATTAAGAGAAAGTTTCTTCAGAAAAGCATTTGTGCTATATAAAACATCACATAAAACAATGATGGATTATTTATTCCTGGTTTTCAAATGGATTGTTCAAGGTTTATTAATTTTTGTTGTTGTTGTTGGAAGTTGAAGCTGTTGAGGTGAAAGAAATCTGAAGCATATTTTCTTTACAATGCTGAAAAAGTTAATAGGTGTTAAAAAAAAAATGGTGCCTGCATGGAGATTCTGTAAGGGAACCTTCTAGCTGGTGTTCACCACTGCTAAAAATTGAACCCCTTAAAACCAGCTCAGTTTTGGTAGTCAAATCTCAAAGTACTCATAGTCACTAATTAATTTTTTCTAAAATTTAAGCTTATATATGTAAATTGTATGCCATTCGGAAAGTTTAGCTTTATGTGCCTAAATTCTAGTAGAAGAGGAGATGAGCACACACAATGCTTATCTAACATATGCAGGAATGGTAGGCTTGCCTTTGCAAATCAGCCTTTCATGCCCCAAATTAGGCATCAAGCACTGGATTGCAATGTTCTTGTTCAACATAATCAATATCTCTATAGCTCAGGGCACCCTGAATCCAACTGCAAATTTCTCCATGATCACATGGAGACGACACCAAGTTGGGCGGCAGTG